TCGTGGTTGGCGTTCAAGACCTTCACCGCGGCCAGCAGGAGGATGGCCTCCACATGTACGGGGACACATACGCATAGAATCGCAGAGATGCACGTATACCCATATAGGCTGCAAAGTAGTTCCTTTTTGGGATTACCTTACAGGATCCCTAAATATGAACCCCAAAAAGGAACTACTATAGAGCCTATGGGTATACACATTGGCCTTGGTTGCGGGCGATCCTCGCTGAAAGTGCCGGTGGAGGGCTTCAAACTTCCTGACCCACATTCCGAGTCCAGGTACTGTTCTTCCGCCAGCTCCAAAAGCACCTTCCTGCTGCCTGCTGCGACTTCGGCACACAGCCCGGGCCCCGCGCGCACGAGGCGTCACGCTCTGCGGCAGCAGGTGCCCGAATTCTCCAATGAGGTACCTCGCTGGCAGAGTCTAAACGGCTAGAATGCCAATGCTCTTGAAAAAACTGCACCCATAGCACAGAAGTGTGGAGGGCTCTCAAAAAGGCAGAGGAAATGAGCTTGCCAAGGAACGCCCCCAAGCGCAGGAGCGTGTCATGGGCCGCTCGCTGACTGGAGAGGTTCTGGTAAGCCTCCAGAGTTGGCTCATGACAAAGGACGCAAAGAGTCCGCAAGAGATGATCTGGGAGTTTTCCAGCCTTGCTCGCAGCGTGCCTTCGCAACGCGTTCTGCTCCTCAGCTGCAAGCCGCGATGTGCGAGACAGCTTGGGTCCGGCTTTTGCACCTTTTCGAGGCTCATACTCTCTACTGAATCCTTATACTTATAGCAGCCCCGGTTTACCGTCCAGACACTCCTGCCATGCACTGCTTCTCACTCAGGTTCCCGGTGCCCCTTTTCTTTCGCGTCGCTTCGAAGCCAAGGAGGTCACAGCAATCTCCTAAGGCCCTCCTCCGTTGCCCAATCCCAAAGGCCCATAAATGACAGTGCTTGCAGCTGCCCCCCCTGGGTGCTTTTCTGGGTTCCCCTGCCGCCTCCGAGGGCCCGTCCTCGAAGCCCGTCACCACCTGAAAAAGAGAGAGGCCCTCTCACAAGAGGCCCCTCTGCCTCCCCGTACCAAGCTGGCCTGCACCACACGATACCAGACGTCGTCAGAGACCTGGAGTCACAAAGGCCCCAAGCGCATCAGTTTTTCTCTCAGATATGACAAGAGCTGGTCCCGCGCACCGCATCGGGAGCACTCTCCAGCATTTTGAAGACGACCTGGGTAAGCTCAGTCGGCGCCCTCCTGCGGCCAGCCTCTAGATGCGGCTTGGCAAGGCGCATCCACGTACCAGCCGATGTTCTTGGCGTTCTTCTCCGCCAAGATGGCGATCTTCAGGACCAACTCCTGACGAGAGAGGTGATTCACTAGGGCTGGGCCCCGGAAGCCCGGGGCCCTTTCATTCCCCGTGAGCTCCTCTTGGAGGAGGTTGTCACTCGACCCCAAAATCTCGAGGAGCTGATCCACGATCTGCTGCCAGTTCTCCGGCCTGGTCTTCTCTTAGCTGACCGTTTTGAAAGGCCGTTCCACACCTGCTGCTTAGAGCAGAAGGGGGGAGCCTGCAAAGCGCGTAGAGCAAGTTCAACGCCTGAAGCCCCATATGTCGCACACATCTGAGTGGCGCCAGTGGCACTTTCGGGCCCTGCCTGTCGGCGGATGGAAATGTCGGTTTCGTGCATCTTATCCAGGATCTGGTTCTTGTACCTGGCCGGCCATCCACTCGCCAGTAAAGAGATGGTCGGAAAGTCCGACCTGTCCAAGTACTCGTGCGTGGACCTCGAAACGCAAGGCCCAGGCGAAAAGCAGCGAGGGGCTCCTTGCTCTCGGGTCCCGGGCAGGTTGCTCGCCAGCCTGGCCATGGTCTCCAAGCCCAGGTACCTCCCCAAAAGAAGCTTCTGCTCTAGTGCGGAGACGTCCGGCTTCCCGGCTCCTGATGTTAGGATCCGTAGAGGAGAGGAAGATCCCAAGCAGTCCCGCAGCGGTCTTGGTGGTCTCGGGGTCGGCCGTGTCCTCCGATGTCCCCTCTCTCCACGACCAACCCTCGGGTCCCTGGGTCCCTCTGCGGGGGCCTCGAGGTGGATCATGAGGTTCATGGCCTCAGCGTATGTACAGAAGCTGTCTCGAAGGCCAGGCTCCACGTCTTTCTGCCTCGAAGAGGACGGCGTGCTCCGCATTGGATCGGTTCTGCCGCTCCGCATCCACCTGCGAAAAAAAAAAAGGATCGCAAGGAAAGCAGCTGCAGTTCCCCTCGTGCCTTTGTGCGCCTCTTGCCGGCACCTGGACACTGGCCCAAAACACAAGAAACACTTCTGCTTCTGCACAGTTCTGCTCTCCCTGTGCTTCTGGGGGCCTGGTTGCAGAGGAGCCGGGCTCCGCTGCGAGGAAGGCTTCGCCAAGATGCTCTGAAGGATCAGGTTCAGCCGATGCCTTCAGGCCAAAATCCGGGGCCCAAGCTCTTCCCCAAGGCGCTCTCGGCTTCGGGCAGCAGCTCTGCATCAAATATGGACACCGGGAAGAACTGCCTTGGTTTGAAGGCTTCTCCGCCGCTCCGCAATGCTCCGCACGGTTCGAGTTTCTGGAACGATTCTGGCAAAACACCCCTTGTTTGCTTTAACCCCCAAACTTTTAGTTCCAGCCCCATCCCTTTTTTTGACCCTGAACCAACCCTGCTGTCATGACCCCTCAGCCCGCTTGTCTGCACCCCTCTCCGACCTCGACACTCCTTGTCTGACCACCCTCTCTTTTGTCCTCTTGCCTCACGCCTTTGAAAGCATAACAATCACTGTAGACCAACGTTCAGAAATCGATTCAGCTTTGCCGCGATTCAGTAAAACTTGAAGGTATGACCCTAAATGCAACATGCGGGAAATCCACAAAACCCACGTGCAGCGCTCAAACCTGGAAATGATGCCCGACCTGATTTTGGAGGCCTTGCACCGTTTCGTGCCAAGCCTGCCTTCAACAGACTATCCCAATTGCCATGGCTCTGCAAACCTGGAGGAGATCCAGAAAGGGCGCCAACAAAAACAAGGAGTTGATGTCAGCATTTGCGACAACGCTCTGACCTGCTAAGCCTGATGTTGGAAGCCTTGCTTTTTCCCAAGACATTGCAGGACTTTTCGATCCAGCTACACGCCCTTGACAGTTGTTACCGGGCCCGTTGCAGACCCTGCCGCTGCACCTTCTTTAGAGGCAAAATCCGAAGCCGAAAACGGGCCACGACCTTGCTTTCCATGTTTTATCCCTGTTGCCATGGCTCTACAAAAGCTAAGTTCCGCCCCTAAATTTAAATTCAAAACCCGAGAAATCCACAAAAGCCGCGAGCAGGCCTCAAACTTGGATTTGATGTCCAAACTTCCTGAAACCCTATCAAGCCTGCTAGACAGCGCAAAACCTCACTTTGGAATTTTTGTTCGCACCCAAGACATTGCAGGAGCTTTAGTTCAAGCTACCTGCCGCTTGAGAGTACGCTGCGCCTTAGAGGCAAAATCCGAAGCGGAAACAGTGCCAAAACCTGCTTTCAAACAATGCCCTGGCTCCGCCAAACCTGAGTTTTGACGATGAATGCAAATTCCAAGAAATCCATAAACGCCATTTGCACCCCTCAAACATGGATTTTATGTCAACCTTTCGAAAAAACTTTCGAAAAAAAACTCAAGGAACATTCTGAAACTCTGAAACTCTTGTTTTGCTCCAAGGCGTTGCCGGCTCTGTGCCCCTGTAGAGTCAGTACCGGGCCCGTGTTGGACAAAGCCGAAAAACAACCGTAAGCCTGCCTGCAATCCATTGACCACTTCTGCCATGAATCTGCAAAAACCTTTTGAGGTTTGTGACGGAGAAGCCATTTTCGGAGTGAAGGTCGAACTTCCAAGAAAAGTTCTCTAATGGCCTGAAACTCATTCTTCGCTGCAACACCTGAACTTGCCAAGACGCAACGCAAGGCTGCGAACGTCCCGGATGATGATGATGTTGTTGTTGATGTTGTTGATGTTGTTGATGTTGTTGTTGTTGTTGTTGTTTTGGGGGGAAGGGGGGGGCATGTGGGACTCCAGGGGCACGGTCGGTTTAGAAGGGTGAGGAGCCAACAAAAACCAGGCGCCGAGTTGCCAAAACATGTCCTGGAGTCAAAACAGCATGGATCGGGGGCCCAACAAACAGGGCTTGAGGTGAAAAAGAAGGGTGTGTGGGAGCTAGAAAGCAAGCAAGGGGTCAGACAAAACCGAGCTGGGGTCGAAGAAAGGAGCGGTGGCTGCCGGACGATTCTGAGGGCTGCGCAGGATGCGAAGAAGCTTGCTCTGCAGCCAGGGCGCGGGAACGTGGTAGTACCTCCGACGAGATGGGAGCACTATAGGAGTAGAAAAAATCTCGTAAACAAAATGCCATGACCTCCGGAGAGCACTCGTAGTGCTCGGGGCAGAGGCCCTGAACCAAGTTGGCCAGGCACTGGCACACGGGCACCACCACGCCCGACCACGCAGGGGCCTCGGCAGCTCCAAATGCAAGAAGTCTGCACTGCTCGGGGCACTCACAGCGTGCTTGCTTTCTCCGCACATCTTTTTCCCAGCTCTTCCGCGCTGCGACTCTCCGTGACCGAGGCTTTCTCCCGGGCTGCCTCGAACGTCTCCCACAGCACAGCACAGCACACCGGTTCGGGCCACTCGCCTCGGAGACGGCCACCGCGCGCCGGATCAGCTCGGCCTCTTCAGGCGAACGGCCGAACGGCCGCTTCGGCGAGGCCAGGGTGTGTGCCCATAGGCTCCAAAGTAGTTCCTTTTTGGGATGACCTTATAGGATCCTAAATATGAACCCAGGAACTACTATGGAGCTTCTGGGTGGTATGCGCCTTCCTCTGCTGGAGCTTCTCGCGTGCCGAAGCCTCCTGCACCTCGGCCGCATTGCCGCATGGCGGTGCCCTCCTTATACTCCTTTGCCTAGCCACGCCGAGGGGCACAAAGCTGCCGCAAAGTGACTTCCAGCTCAGACCTAGCAAACGGAGTGAAATCATGTGAAAGCTGCATCCAATCAACTTCGTTTGATTTGATATACATGAGAATTCTGCATCCAATCAACTTCGTGCTGACTCAGGTGCCCATCTGACTCTGAAGCATCATGCTCATACTCTGGGGCTATAGCCTCCTCCTGGAAAACCTCCATCACATGCCTTCTAGGCGTTTCAACTGCCTTGGCACAGACTTTGGCTCAGGCTCCTGCTTCTCATCTTCCAACCTCACGGTGCAGAGGACTCCGAATCGTGGGGATCAAGTGCATGGCCCTGGATGGCGGCATCACATGTCCCACATGTCCACGCTTTCCAACATGCATCTCCAAACACACACCCCCACTTCCGCAATGAGTGGAGTGAGTGCGTGCGTATGCGGGCGGGCGGGCAGGCCTGAGTGAGTGGGTGGTTGGGTGAGCAAGCGAGCGAGTGAGGGAGAGAGTGCAGGAGTGGGGGACTGAGTGCAGTGGAGCGGCGCGGCGCGGTCTGGCGTGGCGTGGCGCGGCGGGGCGTGGTGGGGCCGGGCAGGGCCGGGGGGCGGGGCGCGGTGTAGCGCGGCGCTGAGCTGAGTTGAGATGGGTAGAGTTGAGTTGAGTGAGTGAGTGAGTGAGTGAGTGAAGGAGTGCGCGGGTGGGTGGGTGGGTGGGTGGGTGGGTGGGTGGGTGGGTGGGTGAGTGACTGAAGGGAGGGCGGGAGGGAGGGGAGTGAGTCGGGGAGGGCAGTGAGTGAGCGAGTGAATGCGATTGAGGGCGTGAGCGAGGGAGCGAGTGAGGGAGGCTATGCATAATTCAACAGTACAATCCACACTGTCCAGGGAAACCAAGATCAATGACCTCAAGCAGACATTCCTCTGTGACGTCAAGCCCGTGTGTCCAGTCTTCCAGTCTTCAGCCAACGCCATTCGGCATCACAGCATTCATAGATGCATCATGTTCATGGGGTGCATTTTTGGGATGGTTATATTTAAATTTCGCAGGGGGAGTGAGTAAGGGAGTGAGCGAGGGAGAGGGAGGGGAGCGAGTGAGGGAGTGATGGGAGTGAGTGAGTGAGTGAGTGAGTGAGTGAGTGAGTGAGTGAGCGAGTGAGGGGAAAGAGTAAGTCAGGGAGTGAGTGAGGGAGTGAGAGAGGGAGTGAGAGAGGGAGTGAGAGAGGGGAGTGAGTGAGTGAATGCGGGAGGGGGGAGAGTGAGTGAGGGAGTGCAAAAAAGCGTCTGCGCCGGAGTGTGAATCCTTAGGTTCTGCATGGTTCCGCGGTGGTCGGGATCAGTATACCGAGCTTCGAATTGAGCTTGGGACTTTTGGAGCTCAGCCGCTTTGTGCTTGAAGTCCTGCTGGCAGACACGAAGCTCTTCGCTGGCTTCTTCCTGGTCAGGGAATGCTCAGGCTCTGCTCAGGACCTGCGCAAAAGTGCCAATTCGGCAAAGGAGCCAATTTCTGCTGCGCTGCCTGCACGAGGCCGGGAATGGCGAGGCGGTGCTCATTCCACATGCAAGCGCCACACCCTGTCCTTCTTTTCTGGAGAGACACACATGGCACGGCCAAGTGGCAGGAAGACGATTGAGATCCACAGAGTTCAGATCTTCAGTGGCTATGCTGTGAATCATGAGCTCCGAGCTGTCTGAACTGGACCTATTGCAACACCTTTTCCATCAGTCCAGACTCCAGAGCCAGGAAGGCTGGCGGAGGATGGCCGATGGCAGGACAGCCTTCTTTGCAGTTTCCTTGTTCCCTTGCCCCGGGCCCGTCGCCGGAAACTTCCCCATCTCCAAGATGCCCAGCATGAAGCCACTAGCTGACCTCTGGTTTTGCAAAGCTCGCCGCCATCGCGGAGGGGGGCCCCAAAGTTGCGGGCGTCAACAGGCCGATGTCCTGCTCGTTGAAGAGCACCGCGAGCTTCGGAGACCAGACCTCTGAAGGGTTCAAAAATCGAGGCACGGTCTCGAGAGCATTGAACCCGATCCTCTGGCTGCAAGCCGTCGTTCTCCTCCAAGATCCGAGAAAAGCACAAGCTGGGAACTCCACTCTCTCCGTTTGAGTCTAGACAAAGAGGTCCTTGCGATAGAGCCGCAAGAGGCAGATGCAGGCTTTGCGCTTCACGTAGGGCGACAGCCTCGGAACTGCCACAAAAAAGCGGCGTACGTACTTTGCTCATTTTTGTTGCTGTCGATTGGGCTCGTTTCTCTCTGTCTGCTCAACTGTGCAATGTGCCACTGTGCCATTGGCTGGGATTCAGTTTTGGCCCACGGTATGGGTCAGGGAGGCTTGGCACTTCACGCCTGTAATCGTGTGCCTCCAACAGCAACACGTCATAACACGTTGCAACGCCCTTTTCGTCTCGTATTTCATCGCAGAAGTGCAGAAGACGAAGAGACGATGTCCTTTCTGTCAGCTGAGGCACGCGTTGGCCTGCGTGAGGATCATCCGCGCGATGTCGGTGAAGAGGTTGTCTGCAAACTCCGGGCCTCATGAAGTGCAGAGGGAGCAAGACGGAGAAAGAAAGCCGCGGCGCCGGGAGCCCGACCTCCGATGTTCGCCACCGTGTTCAGGGCAAGCGCCGCCATGTGCTGCGGGCCGCGCGAGAGAGAGAGAGAGAGAGAGAGAGAGAGATGGCCCCATCGGCATGTTGGTGCCTCATTGCCCGAGGAGATGTCGGTCTTGACGCTGTTGACGATCATCCGCACCATGTCGTTGTTGTCCGCCAGCAGCAGCGAGGTCGCGAGATACCTCGGGAGGCGGCGAGATGCCGCGGCCATCTTTTCCACTGTGTCGCACTGGGTTTCTGGCCCCGCTGTCTTCTCGCTGAACTTCGGGGAGGAGCACAACTCCACGGCCTCTGCGCGCCGCGGTTGCGAAGCGCCGCGCTGACCGCACTTTATGCACTTTGCTGGGAGCACCTGAAAGTGGCCGGTGTCGTCGATCTCGTAGCCGAGCATATACGCATAAAGCAGTTTCCACACATACCTGCGGACTCAACTGCCAGAAATCCCATGGCGGACGCGGCCGGCGCCGCGCACTTCTTCCGGTCGTAGCCAGACAAAGTCTTTGGATTCGCAAACTTCTGCCGGATCTTCGAGAGCTCCTGGCATGGTGAGAAGTTCACTGCGTGCTGAACTTCACATCTGCCCGCTGCCCCATGTTTTGTTCTCCTTGTCGACTCGTGTCCGCTCTTGCTCTTTGGTCTGGCAGTTGCGGATGTCTGCAATGAAGACCTGCTTCGGATCGGCCGCCCTACTCGCGCCATTCATGGCCAAGCCTATGCCATACCCATAGGCTCCAAAGTAGGATTACCTTCTATAGGATCCTATAGGAATATGAACCCCAAAAGAAAAAAGGGAACTACTATGGAGCCTACATGGATATAATAGGGGTCCCCTGAAAAAAATGAGGGCCCCCTTAGGATGCGCCCCGCGCCTGGAGGCCCTTCATGTGGCTCGGGGAGTCGAAGCCCAGGGTCTCCTGCGCCCCTCGCACCGCTGCCTGGCCACTTCCACGAACTTATTCCAGCCGGGTTTAGGGAGTTTAGGGAGTTTAGGGAGTTTAGAGAGTTTAGGGAGTTTCGGGTTTAGGGTCTCTTAAGTTCCTGCCTTGACACCCTTCATGGCGGGAAAAAGGGCCTCGGAAACAGCTTGCAGTGGCTCCGTGGCTCGGGGCCTGGGCCTGAAAGCTGCCGGCGCACGGCTCTGCGTCTTAGGCCATGTGAAGAACGCGCGGCGCCTTAAGTTCCGGCAGTTTTTTTGGAACGCCCCACGGACGTTTGTTCTAAGGCTCCGGCCGGTCTTCTTCGGGCCAGGGCCCCAAAGGAAGCGTTAAGGCTCAGAGCGTCCCAAGGGCTAGGCAGTGCGGTTGAAGTTCTGCCATTGGTGGGTTCTGGGTAGGTTTCAGTGCTGGGGGGCCCAGGGGGTGCCTTTAAAGCATTGCCACTGCCACTGTGTCCCACTTCGTTTACTTGCGGAGTCGGATCTGCAAGGGGCTGCACAGAAAGATCGACACATTGCCCGAAAGTGGGTGTCCTCGTCTTGAACTTGAGGTAGGACTGTGGCAGCAGCAGAGGGATCCTTTTCACGTCTCTGGGTGAGCTCTGGGTAGCTCTGCCGCTCACTTTCCCAGGTGCTTCATCATGAAGTTGTAGGCCTGCGTCATGCAACTCTGGGCACAAAAGGGTGAAGCCGCGACAAGGCGATTCTGCTCCTCGCCCTCCTCACCGAAGTCGACAATGGCAACGCAGCTGGCACCGACGACCTTGCCGCCGCTTTGGGTCAACATGCAGAAGCTAAACAAGCTCCGTGTTTCACACCTTCCTGGGCATGCCATCCTTGTCGATCTTGCAGAGGCCTGCCAAAGGCTGGCTTTGTAATTTAGAACTTAGAAGGAGGTCAAGCGAAACTCGAATGTCGTCCTGCCCACTCGCCGAGGCTCTTGTTGTCAGGCACATCAATCACGGGCACATTCTTCTCCACGCACAAACCCTTCCAGTCGCAAGCTGACAAGCTGTGCATCTTGGCCTGGCCCTACTGCCCTACTGCCTGGATGAGCTTTTTGTAGGTGGCTTCGTTGCAAGACTCGGAAAGGAACACCACCTGGGCCTTGCACGCCTCGATGTGCTTGGCAACCTTTCGGACTCTGCGCAGATGTCAGGAAACGACATGCAAGGTCTCCGCAACCCACACGCCTCGTGGAGGCCTCGGATTGCACCGTCCACCATCAGGGACTTCTTGAGTACGCCACGAACGGCTCCCATGAGGTCCGTCACCTATGCACGTGTTTAGACACCTATTCCTATGCGGCCAGCAGCCGGATCCCCACCTCTTCCTCCGGCTCAGCCTCAGGGGCCACGACATCCTCCGCGTCAAGCTCAGCCATGACCTGAGGCTCCACGAAGTCACGCTCTGCCCATCCCTGTACTCTCTTCGTAGCCTTAGGCGCCTGCTCCTTTGCCTTGCGACCAGCGGCACCCACTGAGAGACGCTCTCCGAGCCTATAGATGGCAGCAGGGTCCTGGCAAGTTGTGCGTGGGCGCGAGTGCCAGAAGAATCTGCAAATTAGCTGCGGGGTAGGAAGGTGGCTGAGCGCAAGACAAGCAAAGCCCACCAACTCTTCGAAGAAATCAAGAATCTGCCGAGGCCACAGGCCCCACCCTCCTCCGCCTTTTCCGACCGCTTCCAACCTCCCTTTCCTTTTTTTTGTGCTTCCTTGGCTCCACGCCTCCCGGCACGCTTGCCCTTCCTCCCTCCTCCCGCCCCTTCCCCGTCTCTCGTCTCCGATTCCCGCCTTCGTTCCGCATCTTCCCCTTCCTGCCTCGTGCAGCTGTGCGAATGTGGCTGCGAGTGCCGGGCCACCGACCAGAGCTTTAGGCGTTCTCCCTCCGCCTAATCCTCCTTCCTGCAGTTCCGCCCACCTTCATTCCCCTTCCCACCTTGGGTGCGACTGCTGGCAATCAGCGTAACTAAGCATTTCCGTTGCTGCTCCAACTCTTCTCAATTGTTGCTGCAGATACTGGGGTTTCAAGCTGTAGTGTTTGCCGGTGTCGCTGGGCCCCGCTGCTACTCCAAGTGCCGGACTGCCGCAAGCCGAGGGGGGGGGCCGGGGGGGGGCAGAGCGCTAAAATTAGCATTTACAGTGGGTCGAAGAGTAAGCACGAATGAAGCATGTGGTTAGTTCTCTAAATTAGGGTCTTTTTAGGGCTCCCATTATAAGGGCGGCGTACTGTATTGGGGACCTAAAAGGGGAGCCTAGTTTGGAGAACTACCCACATGAGTCACATGTGCAGTCGCTTCGTTTTTTTCGGGCGTCGCAGCGGCTCCATGGGCTATAGCTGGACCAGGGCACCAAAGGGACACCAGAGTGCGCCGAACGGCACCATGCAAGCGCCACTGATGCTCCACTACTCAGTCACTACTCTCTCTTTGTTTGGATCTTTGGAGATTTCCTCTTGCAATTCAGGACTTGCGAGAAAGTGGGGAAGATCCGCCTCGCGGCGCTGGGAGCATGTCAGTCGCCCCTGCGTGCTCTGGATGGCTTCAGCGAGCTACGGGTCCTTTGGCCCGAGAAGTTCTGCAGGGTCCTTGTTCCCTGGATGTTCGAGCTCCGAGAACCTGCTCACATCAGCTTGGAACACGAGCCGCGAAATGGAGATGTCGATACGAAGACATCTGAATACAAATAATGCTGGACTCCGCATTGCATACCAACAGAATCATCCCAGCTCGGTTGGTGTCTGAAATCAACCACTCTTGTTCGACCACCAATTGCATTCCCTCGCTACGATGATCGCAACTTTGAACCGTAAACTGAGCAGCACATACTCTGGAGCTTTGGGGAGTAGGGGAGGATGCTGCCAATGGCCGCACTGGTGGTGCCGTCACGCCTATTCGCGCCCAAACGGGCGAGGGTTCTTGCAACTACGTAGTCAACCCCGTCTCGCTACTGAGATTCTCCAACCACGTCATTGGATCTCTGCGCCCAGCTCTGTTTCAAGCTCAAAGCATCACCCGCATCTTGACACCTTCCAAAGCTACAGTGCGCGACGGCCACAGGCGATGCAACAGCTTGTTCTTTCTGAGGGGCCCCCACCGTTCTTCCAGACATATTCTGGCTGCTTCGCCAGTGCCTCTCGGCGATCTTCCACCTCTCAAGGTCACCATGACGTCTTTCTTAGTCAAAACCCAAATTCAAAGCTTGGACCATGCATTACTGTGACGATGCCCTAGCTCAGCACCGACCCGAAGCCCAGCCAACCTCCCCGCGCCGCTCCAGGTCCTCCACGATGCGATCCCACCTGGGGGGCGGGGGCTCTCACAGAGGGAATCGCAGCCTCTCAGCCCCGAGACGCAAGCTTGCTGTGGTCGAAGCTCCGCACCTGCCAACTTCTGCAACGGCATTAAGCTCTACCAGGATTCCGCGCCAAGCCTCAGAAGCTTTTCTCTGGAAGTCCTCTGGAGCCAGAGAGGACGAGAGAGGACGAGAGCTCAGACTTCCAAGGCCACCGCGCCCGCGGCCGCGCCCGCAGGTCCAGGCGGCCTCAGAGAGGGCACCTGGCAAAGTCGCCCTCTCCTCCCCGCTGCGTTCTCGAAGATGCACTCCACACCTCCGCCGCGGGTGGCGTTACCCGGGTTACCGCAGTTACCGGGGTCCTGGTGATGCAAAAGGCAAAGCCGCAAAGCCATGCAAAGCCCTCCCGACTCTCTCCTCGTGCTTCCCGGTGTGGCCGGTGCCAGGACGTGCGCAGCAAGCAATGCCTTGTGGCGAAGCGGAAAGCGGAGTAGGGCGAAGACGGCTCATACGACTCTGCAGCTGACAAGACACCCCGAGCTTCCGGAAGCCGCGCTTCGTGGCCATCTCTTCGGCAGTGAGCCCATGGCGGTTCCGTGTGCCAGGGCTTGCATAGGCCTGGCAAGGGAAGGGCCCAAGGCCAGCACGCGACCAGCCCTTCGTCCCGCAGCAAAGTATAGAGGATCGGAATGAAGCGTATATAGATCTATGCTGTTCTCTGTTCTCATCTGCCGACGTTTGGCTGGAGGAGAGCAAACGCTTGTTGCAACTCGGCTTCATGGACATCACACAGACTTCACAGGCATGCCCAGAGCGAGCATGCCAGCATTTCAAGACCCAGTCGGCTTTGAAGGGACTGTTTCGAACAGGAGAAGCCTGAGATTCAGCGGAGACCACAGCAACCTTCTTTTATAGCTGCCTCCAAGAGCATCTTGCAGACCTCTTCGTGGCCACCGTGCGCTGCAAACATCAAGGCCGTGCTGCCTGTGAGACGACACGAAGCGGATCGAAGCAGGGGTTTAGGGAGGGCGGAGAGCGCGGTAGGGTACCACGGATGCCGCGGGCCTTCCTCGTTGGCTGCGGCGGGGTCGGCTCGCAGCTCCAAGAGCAACTGCAACGCAGAGCGAGCGAGAGAGAGAGAGAGCGACGGAGCGCGAGAGCGAGAGCGTGAGCAGAGAGCGGAGAGCGGGAGGGCGAGGAGCACGACATGCGTCGAAGCATTCGCAAGCGCCTGTACCAGAGACGAATCGCCGCGGTGGGCAGCGAAGAGCAGCGGTGTCTCAGCGCGAGAGTTCCCAGCGTTGACGTCAGCGCGAGCCTCGGCGGGAGAGCTTCGCCAGGATGCAAGCACTGGGCCTGCGGGCCTGCACCAGCTTCCTAGCCAGCTTCTGAACCTGACCGCCCGGACACGAGCAGGGAATAGCACGGATGCCTGGTGCCGGCTCCGGACCTCCAGCCGCGCGACGGGCTCCTGCCGCCACTTGGTCAGGAGGTGGAGGCCTTGCTCGCCGCCTCGAACTTCGGACGGCGACGGGCGGCAACACCGCTGAGCTCCGCAGCCGTCGCTGCCTTCGGTCACGGAGGGATCCGCCCCAGCCTCAAAAAGGCTGCTGTTTTTTTGCAAGCGCAGCCGCCAGAACCGCCTCCCGAAACACACATCGGCCTCCAGCGCAGCCTCGGCAGTCCTGATCGCTTCTCACGCAAACCCCCCAATCCCTCTCCGGGAGGTACCTACAGTAGGACCTATCACGCACGCGGAGATAACCCGGATAACCCGCAACAAGAAAGCTGCTGGGAAGAAACAAGCCACAACCGGGGTTGGGGTGGTGAGGTATCTCATGCGCGTGCGCGACAGGATCCTTTAATCCCTCTGTCAGGGAGGTACACGGAGAACACGAAGACTCGCTCGAGAGAAGAGACGAGCTACAGCGGCTTTCGGGGGTTGCGGCTGGAGGTCTCCAAAACGGATCATGAAGAGACACGTGCGTTGCGCGGGAAAGGACACAACCCGTGAAGGGGGTGGCACATTGGGTATCCAACGTGGCACGAAAGGACTCCCTCACGCGGCGTACCTCAAGGAGGTATGCGACCGGGGAACCTGCGGAGAGGTATTGAAAGAGCTCATGGGCCCATTTGGAGGTCTCTCTCCCTTTGTCTCTGTCTCTTCTATAGGGTCTGCCGTTCTCCAACTTCGTGACCATCTCGGAAACCTTGCTTGCATTGCTTGCTTGCTGGGGGTATGGGAGGAGGACCTCCCTGGCCCGTGGGCCTACAGTTGGCGCGTTCAGTACGCTTGCGAGGCCCCTTCCGGGGTTGGGAGTGTTCCTGTTCCCCTGTATAAGCCTGTTTTACCCATCCCCCCCGAAAACACTCCTCCTAAGACCGTGACCGTATAAACCTTGCAGGCAGCATACAGGTCATCCAAGGCTTCCCGAAGACAACTACTGGCGGGATGTTCCAGTCAGCTTCCGTAAAGACAGCACTTGACTACAGGGTGCCAGGACACGACTACGGCTACACAGGACCTAGTTATGCTTCCAGCTCTTTGGCGACTAAGAGCTCTCAGAAACCTTCTCTCCCTGCTGATTGCTCCACGCGCCTGGCATCCCGCTGGTTCAGGGCCCGCAGCATCGCCCGGCCCTGGCTTTTGGGCCTCTCCTCTGCGAGAGAAGCAGAGAAGCAGCAATGCAGAGCCATGAAAAGAGCCCTCGCTTCAGGGACCCTGCTTTTCCACTCCAAAAGGTCCGATCGCATCAACGGGATTCAACGGGGGGCTAGCGAAGGTTGGGGCCGTACTTGTTTGAGGCCCGCTTTCAGGTGGTCTGATGCAGAACCACCCAAAGCGTGGCTAACTCATGCGAGGGTATGTGGCTCCTTCGCGTCCACCAGCTCAAAAAGCTCCGGGGCACTGCGGAGGTCCAGGCACTGCAGGCGCCACAGTTTTTCGAGCATGAAGTTCCTTCTTTTCTGGCTCTTGGCGTCTGGCTTGGCTCAGCTTCTCCACCAGCGATCCCTGTTCATGCTGCGGAGATCTTCTTCCCTCACGATCTGCACTTCCTTTGCCAGCACTCCTCCTCGGCCTCGAAAGCGCCAGCCTCAGTGCAAAGTCCGGGAGGGAGGAGGGGATCGGGATCCCGCTGAGCCAGCAGCTCTAAGCATGTCTGAGCCAGCAACTTCGAGGAGGCACTTGGACAACTCCAGGCTTCCCTTTTTCAAGGGCATGTCTCGGCTTCCTCTCGCCACCTCATGCCCGGTCCTTCTTGAGAGCCATGAAGAGCGGAGTGCGCCCAAGCCTCAGTCTGCAGATGTCTGCGCCTTCTTTGACGCCCTGCAGTGCAGTGAGTCCGCTGCATGTCCCTTGGCGCCAACTCGGCACGGGCCTGTGCCGAGCCGGAAAGCGGAGATCTGCGAAAAGCTGCGGAGCCCCCTTCTCAGGGCCTGGAGGAGAAGGCGGATCATGTCTGCCGAATTGCTGATCACCGCCGAGTGGAGGAGCGAGAGGCCTCTGCGACCGCAGTCACAATGCCAGGATCTACGCACTGGCTTTGTTACAGGAAGCCGTGTTCACAGCCCAATGCTGGAAATGACGATCCAAGCCGGCGGTTCTTTGAACAGACACGGAAGGAATGCCACAATCCCCACCTCCGCGAACCAGCGACAGTGATCTGGAGGGAATGTGCGACGACGTGAGAAGCGGGGGTAGGGTTGGGCTCGCAAGGTAAGAAAACTGCGGACTGCATCAATGCCCGCAAGATCATGTGTCACATCCCAGACCCTGAACACCTGCCCCGATGTATGGCCCACAGTTTGGCTTCCGGCCGAAGCCAATCGGAGGGCTCACAGAGAAAGAGCGCGATTTTAGTTCAAGTCGGCGCCCCTTCTTTCCAGTGCGCGCTTCCAAACAGAAAGTGAGCTCCTGACTCACCACCCTCGGTGTTACGGAAACTCATCCTGAGCACCAAGATCGGCCCGAGCAAGGCAGTAAGGATCGCGACGCAGAACCACAAGAAGGTGGTGTTGTGGATACCCCCGTACTGCACGGTGGCGCAGGCAGACGATTTGTTGAGGCTTCGATGCAAGAAGCGAAGAAAAAGATCGGGCCACTTGCCAGCCGACTGAGGCCCATCATGGGCAGGGTCCATCCATACTCTACACTCACAGATGGCAGATCTCGAGACAACAAGGCGGCATGTAGCTCGCTATGCTGCTATGCAGGCAATACTCTACACTCACAGATGGCAGATCTCGAGACAACAAGGCGGCATGTAGCTCGCTATGCTGCTATGCAGGCACTCTACAGGGGGCCTTCTTCCGAGCTGGGACAGCGCGCATGGAGGAGGCTCGGATCAGCAAGAAAAGCCTCAAGGCGAAACTGAGCTCAGAAGATGCTTCGGAAGATCCGCCATAGAGCCTCGCCATAGTTCCTGAAGCGGACAGCCTGAAAAGGCACATGCGATGCTCTTAGGACTCGGAGCTCGAACGTCTCCTTCGTTGCCTCGTGGAGTCTCTGCGCAGGGCTCACGGCACGCGCCGTGGGCCTCTACGCGGTCTCCCCAAACAAAAAGGCGACGCCACTGCAAAAGATCTGCTCGCGCCACTTGCCTCACTGCCGGGGGCTTTGCCTCGGCTTTTGTCTTTGCAGAGAGGTCCTGACGACAGGTCTCCAAAGCCCCAGAAGGTTTCAGAAACAGCCGCCTGCAGCGGCTCAGGCTCTCTCGCCCGTCTCCTGGATCGGACTTTTGGTCTAGCCAGAACGGGCTCTCAAGCTGCGATTCAAAGCTAGGCACTGGCTGGCTCGGAGAATGGCATCTGCAGACCTGGCATCCCACATCACAGCATGGGTGTCGTGAATGCCATGCTTTTCTGCAATCGCTTGGCTGCAACTTCCACAAAATACTTGGAAGGCTTCCGGTTGACGGCATGGCCGCTTGTTTTTGTCGGTCCTTCCGCTCCCACTCTGCTCTCCCGGGTGTCCCGGCAGCCAGGTGGCGGATCTCTCGGAGCTCCTGGGCACCTGGGAGCTCCGAAAGTCCCAACAAAGGCCCGACGGCGCAGCCCTCCCGCGCCTCAGGCATGCGGCCTGCGGCGCCGAAGCGCCGCCTTGCGAGTGCTTCCCACCTCAGCTGGCTTTGAGAAACGCTCAAAGTAAAGGCTCCTTCTGAGCCCTTGCTCTCTCTCTCTCTCTCTCTCCGAGCCGCGCCTCTCCAGCGTCTGCTGCAAGAGCCTGGCACCCAAGCCCTCCTGCAGGAACCAGGTGACCTGGAAGGGAGAGAGCGCCGCAGCAATCCGCCCCCCCAAACAGTTGCAACCGCCTCGCCGGCCACCTCGCTCTGCGGATCATCGAACTGGACCTCCGCTCAAAAAGAGAGAGCCGCGGGGCTCCGAAGACGCCAAAAAACATCACCGGCCTGCAGCTCGGGCGCTGTGCCCGGCTGGAAGCCTGGGACGCGCAGCACCGCAGGCCAGCGCTGTGCCCTTTTCTCGTCCTGGGCCTCGGTTTTCTTCACGCTTTACTCCTTTTTACGGGTGGTGCGCCGGCGACATGCAGTCAACTTAGCACAGGGCGCCATAGAAGCGAGTTGCCTGGTGAGGCAAGGCATATGGACTGGCAGAAAACCACCGCTGGGAGAAACCTTCGGCCTTAACCACCTCCAGCTGCAGACCAAGGTCCAGGTCAGCATCCACACTGACCTACTCAGGAGCCATAGATGCTGAGCCTTGCTCGTGAAACACTTTCTTCGAACCGGCAGAATGTTGGGAGGCACGGTCGGGCAAGAGATGCAAAGGATCGATATCGATCTGGAGCTCTTCCGATCGATGGCTTCTGCTTCTGTGCCAGAGCGACTTTCTGGATCGCAGGGCGTAGCTCTGTGCAACTTGCCAAAAACGCATGCTCCTGTATCATCGAGCCGAACAAGCTGAAAGCGAGGCAAAAAAGCAGGGCCCTGCCTGGGCCTTGCGACCACAAAGGCTTGCTTCTCCGCTGACCTCCACACGGAGCACCTGGACCTGGCACGGCCAGCTTTGCAACATGGCGGAGGTCCCGGGGCTTCTGCCAGCCTCCAGGAAGCTCCAGGGCGTCCGCACCGCCTCTCCGTCTTTGCACCGCGCAGGATCCTTCAAGGCCAAATTGAGGCCCCGCTTTTTTCGAGAGGTGCGGACTCGCCTTCAGCGCATCCAGCAGGATGTCTTGCAGCGATTCTCTGGCCCAGTCCGTGAGATCCTTCTCCTGGTGACAGCAGCAACATGATATTATGGGACCCGAAAAAGCGTCGTGTGCGCGTGCCTGCCAGTCCATTGCGTAGCCGAGGCGCCCCACTGTAGGCCATCCCCCAGGTCTTAGCCCTCTTGTGCTTAAAAACATCACCGGCTTTTTTTTGGTCGCTTCTTCGCCGAAGTACTCTCTTGCTCTTGTGCTGAACTTAATGAGCCAATGGCTGTAGCCAGACTCTGGCTTGCGCCACGGAGCACGGAACAAAGCAGGTGCCCCAAGACCCATGCAATTGTTTTGGGCACGTCCAGTTCGGAAAATGCTTCCCGACACAGGGCGCAGAGATGCACACGCATTCCCAAAGCTCACACACGGCGCATAAGACGCGGCCGGCAGCCTCTCCGCACACGAAAATGACGGTGCATCTGAATGTCTTGCACAGGATCCGGTGTCCGGCCTCCGTATTGGATGGTGTTTCGGACATAGGCTTGTGTAACCTTCCGAGGCGTCCGAGCGAGTCTGTTCCCTCTCTGTACCAGAGCTCTCTCGTCATTGTCAGGCGGCATTGATGCCGGAAGAGCGGATGGTGGCGATGATGCTGCCCAGAGCTCCAGGCCTCGGGGAGCGAAGCGTTCGCTGGTTGGCGGCGCTATGCTGCGCTTTTTGAGGTGCCGGCGCGCCCTTCACTTGCAGCACGATGGACTCCACACCCAGCTTGTCCGCCACGAAGAGCGCCGCCTCAAGGGACGAACAGAGAAGGAACCAATCCCCCTGCGTCACTGTCGGTGGGTGCGGTTCCAGGCCATCCGTGCGCCTCGATGGCACGATTGGCGTTCGGGAGGAGCGGACCTTGACTCGGATCTTTTATGCAGGCATTTGCAGATGTTTGCAGGCTCTCTATCACAGAGACTATAGAGTTCTTCTGCCAGGGAGCCGTAGCGCTTCTCGGTGGTGCACCAGACAATCTGTTGGCGAGTCGGACGTGAGTCGTCACGGCTGGGTTTGTGGGGGTGCTTTGGCCTCGCCCTTCTTGTCGCACAGGGCGACATGGGCGTTGTTCTTGGACTTCCGGACCGTCAACATCTCAGCCGCGGAAGCAGCGGAAGCAAGCGCCGCGATGAGGCTGAGGTCGAGGCTGCACCGCCCTTCAACCTGAGAAGTGTGAGACGACGAGTCCGGATTCAGTTTGAGCGGGCCGAGCGGGCCTTGACACTTTGCTCTGTTTCATCTGCATTGCCGCCAGGCAGGTTCCTTACATGAAAAGCGTCACCGCTGTGCCACGCGAGCCTAGAAGTGCCTCTGCTAGCACTTAGGCTCAGATGGAGAGCGGAAATTCCGATTCTGCCGGCGAGGAGCGGCGCGAGCGCACGAGGCTCGCCAAGATGGCCTCAGCTCTTGGAAGCACAGCAGCTAAGCGGCGCCCTTTTGGCACGGCTTTTTTCGGAAGAGTCCTCGGACGCCTGCGGCCGCCGCGCCTGTGACGCCCCACTGAACCTGAACAGGCGGCTGCCGAGCTCGCGCCATCACTCGAGTTTTTTTGGAGCACGAAGGGCCTTATTGGAGGGCGAGCTGCGAGCTGCCGGCACCTGCACAGAAGGGCCCTTAGGCCCTCATAGGCCTCTAGAAGGCTCAAGGCCCAGTTAAAACAGAGCTTCGTAGCCTCGGAGCTCAGCGCTCCCCGACTAAAGCTCCTGGAACGGAGGCCTTCCAGGCCTCACAAGAACGCCAGCCTCTTTAAACCCACTGAGTTGTGGGGCAGCTTGGCCTTGTGGGCTGGGAGCCAAGAAGGCATGGCACAGCGGCAGCCTAGGTTGTGCAGTATCCAACCTCCGATGAAGTCCGAGTAGCCACAGGACAGGGTGGCGAACGCCGCGAGGAAGAGCCACCGCCTGCACTCCGACATCCCGCTCTTTCTCCGACCCGGTGAGACTTTTCTGAGGTCCCGGCATTGCGCAGCTGCGCTCCCTCGGCTGTGCTCTGGAATGTTAACAAGGATCATGCATGAAACCTCATCAAAACCCGACAATCCTGCCGAGGAGCTGGGGACAGCACGTCGACTGTAGCCCAGAGCCCAGACGGCTTCGATAATCCCAGGTGCAAGTCGAAAGCACGTTTGCCCATCCAAAAGACAGCACGCTCGGCTTTCACTTTTGCTCACGGTGCGTGATATGCTGCATGACGCTTCATCCGGAAGACCACCTCTGTGCCGGGATTGCCGCGTCTCACTTCTTCTTGTCAGAGCCCACTACCTGCTGCCAGAAATCCATCTTCTTCTGGGCCTGTAGCGAACGAAGCATCGGCTGTCAGAACATGTTGACCATGTTGATCAGGACAAGTGTTGCTGAGGGTAGGGCATCTTTGAAGGCACCAGGTACCCTCTGATCGCAGATGATCATTCTGTGGCGCGTGATCTCCTGGCGGATCCCGGTCGGGACGAAAGCAACTCGCGGCTTCGTGGCGAACCTCACGCGGCTCTTTCTTGGGCTTCTCCTCCACCTCTGGCATCGTGGGGCCTGTCTTAGCAGCGAAGCCTTTTGGTTTTGCCCCCCAGCTACCCAGCCGCGCCTTCGGATCTTCCACGGCTCCGGATCCGAAAGAGACGGCGACAGCTCTGAGCCGAAACAAGGCACTGGTTTCGGTTAAGACAATGGCCAAGCTGGTGCCAGCAACGCGAAACCGTCCGCATCTTTTTTCGGCGCGAGGAGTCCGTGGGCAACCCATCTTTAAGCTACCCCCCCTTGCCTAGTTCATGTGCCCACCTGCTTACACCTGACGAACGACGAGAAAGCACAGTAGCCGGAAATTTGGCAGTCGAGGTCATGGTTTTCGAGAGATTTCACGCGCCCTGCGGGGACAACTTGAAAGCAGACATCAGCAAGAAGTTGACGTGCTAGGAGATCGTGCTTCTTCGGCTTCAATGCCGGGATGGATGGCAACAGCAAGTTTGAATGCCTGGAATAAGGATTCGCTGCTGCAGCTGAACCGTGCCATCACCTTCTCCTCTTTTCAGGCAGATGCGTTCAGTTCATGAACTTGGATCAAGCCTTGCCGGCATTGGAAGCGAGTTTGCGGTTGACATCGCGTCGTATCGTCTGCACCTACTGCCGCAAAGCCTTTGACTCAAAGCTAGACGATCGGTGGCGCGGTGGGCACACGATTCGGAGTGCGACAATCGCTATGTACACGGTGGGAATTCTGTCCTTGTTGCAGAATCACTCTACTGGCAGTCCGTCAGCCAGGCCACGGCCGCTTCGACCTCGACCACCAGAACGGCATTACAAACAACTCTTGAGCAATGACAGATAGATCGCGGGCATCTTTGGGTCTTTTTTGCAGGCTCCACACCAAGCTGATGTGACTGCTACCTGCAGCCTCCTGACGCCGGAACCCCCCCCCCCCCCCCCCCCTCTCCGCGAAGTGCATAGTCGAGTCTGCCAAAGCACTGCTGCCCTCAGCCCGGTGCCGTAACCGGGGTCTGTGCACCCCCAGTACACTGCTCTTTGGCTGTACAGAGCGTAATTTTCCTCACGCTTGCCTCAATCGGGCGTGGTGTGGTATGTGTCCCGCCAGGTAGCGAGTGCCTCGCTTGCCCGCTTGTTCAACTGGGGTGGTTGCGATCCGCACTAGTAATAGGCATGTGTTGCTGCGCTTGAGATTGCCGGTTTGTGGGCTGAGCGGCTATGCCAGTGCCCGCCAGTCACCCTTGCTCTCGCCGAAGACAAAGACCCAGGACAGGAAATTCCAACATAACAGATGATTGCCTGCATCATCAAAACGCGATGCCGCCCACAAAAGCTCCAGCGCCTCGCCGACAGCCCCCCCCTCCCCACATTCCATGCAGTCATGCGCAGCGAGGTCGGCGACAGTCTGGCCCCTCCTTTGGGCTGCGGGGTAAATGGAAGGATCGCATACCCCTACAGTAGGCAGACAAAGAGCTCCTCTTGATTGAGCAGCCTGGGCATGGAGCGAGCACTGGTGGCTAGAGCTAAAATGGCTACTTCTTCCTGGAGGCGGGTCAAGCCCCCCGAACAGTTTGCCCACCCTCATTGGTTACAGGATGTGCCACTGACTCAAACTAGGCTGCAATTGCTAGTCAGCCCATGTCAATTATTACTCAGCACATCTTTTCAGTCTTTTCATATCCTGCCGGAAAGGTTCGAGCACATGTGTTGTTCCCCAGACCTCTCCACTGTCTGCAACTTCCCCGAACAACAAACTGAACTAACCAAATTGGCTACTCTCTCCCTCTCTCTGTCTCTCCCT